ACAAATTGAAATATAAAATCGCATATAGTAAATTTTTGTAAACAATCCGTAATTTTTTGCCAAATATGTAGATGTCTTTGTAGAATACGTGTAGATGTCTCTGACTAATATAATAACTTGTACCCGAACCTGTACCCGAATTTTTTGGGTACAATTAATTAAGATCCGATCTGAACCTGTACCCGAAAAATTCAAACTTATACTCGATCTAAAACCTTACAGGAATGAGTATAAATTTTCTGTACTCGACAGAACATGTATCGGGTTCTCATGTATCTCATTTAAGAATCTCTTTTCCTTCTCTCTCTTTTTCATTATTTTTCTTATTTTAATCTCTAGATACCCTCATTAGATACTCCCAATAGAGATGGCCTATGAACCAACTTATTTTTGCTGTAAAAATATTGATTTTTTAATTTTTTTTTTAAAAACCCTCTCTTACAAAAAACAAAATTACACAATAAACAAATTAAGCAAAACAACCCCTATTTTACCTACTCCCTCTATATCATATTAAATAATTATTTCATTTTTAATGGATGACTAATTGTACTTTTGTTCTTTGATACCATTTATATTCAACAAAATTATTTATTAGTGGTTAAATTATATTTTTTAAATGTAAATGATGCTTTAATTTAAACATAAATACTAAATGATTTTTTAGTCTATTTGCGAAAGTTTTGAACATTATTGGATCTGATTGGTAATCTAACACAATATAAGTTTTTTAGTGTAGGTGGTTACAGCATGGTGCAAAGATGTAAGAAAAAATTGTATAAATAGAGCCGAATGTAACGCTTTTGGTAAGGTTTTTGGTAACGCTTTTGTGATTGATACAATCTAAAACATTTCAAACTGTAAAATAGTTATAACTCTTTACCATATTTGGTATATTTGGTATAAAAGTGTAAGAGACAATTATCTAAATACCCTTTATTCAAAAAAATATATTAAATTCTTATATAGTCACCTTATTTTTATCATCTACTTTTGTGAACCAAACGTCTTACGCAGTTTTCTCTTTGTTCGCCAGAACTAGGGGCAAAATGGTTCCTCTAAATCTTTGCAATTAATTCTTTGTATTTCAGCTTCGAATGGAGACACTGCGGTGTGGGGAGGGATAGGTGCAGGCGGTTCAAATAGTAATAAAAACATATACATATATGTACAAGTAAAGATTTTATTAGATACAATATATATTTTTGTTACTGTTTAGTACAAGGCAGGATAGTGCGGGTGGTTAATGTCATGTCAATTTGACAAACTCAAAGCATCTAACAAGTTTTTCCCGTCACACGTCCTTGCTATCTTGTTTTTGTCTTCAACTTCTATGAACCAAACATATGACGCAGCTTCTTCTTCGTCCATCAGAATCGGAGGTAAAACGATCTCCCTAAGTCTTTGCATTTAATTCTTTGTATTTAATATCATGTTAATCTCACCAACTCAAAGCATCTAGTGAATATTATGATAATTGCCATTTATTGTAAAATCCTTACACCAATTGCCATTTGTTTGAAATTTTTTTCTCAATTGCCACAATTAAACTATTCATTTATGCGGAAATGACCATTTTAACCCCATCCACTTGCAAAGTCTTTTTCTCTCATTTTTTTTAATTACAAAAATCAAATCCTTATT